GTGTGTGTGTGTGTGTGTGTGTGTGTGTGTGTGTGTGTGTGTGTGTGTGTGTGTGTGTGTGTGTGCGTGTGTGTGTGCGCGCGTGCGTGCCGCACGAGCGTCTGCATGTGAGTGTCACACGAAAAAACCAGGTAAGCATCCATGCAGCCGCATACACACACACCCGATGTTCTCATTATTCTCATCGTCGCATCTCTTCATTAAGACGTTCAACAGCTGGCCGTACACAGGTAGCTGCATCTCTTTACATATCTTGATCACCTGGAATTAACGACGCGGTGCGTTGTAACAGATGGGTTAGGTCTAGCGCAGACCTGCGACTTTTTCATGCGACTTTTTCATGCGTTAAAATGCTGTGAAATCGCTACGTCTGCGGGAACGTGCAACTGCAACCCGTAGCGATTCTGGTCGCTTGCATATATATAGTATGACCATGAATGATAAATCATACGTATGTTGTATTCATGATCATTATCGTGGGGAAGGAAAGTCGCATATGATTGATTACGATTGGAAGTGCTGCATTAGGTTTAATATTTCTTATTCATTTCGTGCTTTTTATTACCTTCTCACGGACGTAGTGCGTCGTCTTATATAAATTCCGTTCGTATTTCAGAATCGTAATCATGAAAATAACGCGTTGGGTTGTCGTGGAAGTCGCGATATGATTCACATAGATTGGCTACATCGCGATTCAAGAAAAAGCGATATTCAGAGTTGATGTTCTTGCCGCCAAACAGACGTGACAATTCACGTTATTTTTGGGAAATTCAAATCAATGAAACCCACGTGAGACGAACGATCGTCAGACCGCGTTGTTATTATCTCATTGTATGGCGGAAAAAGAGCGAAACATAGCAACAGGATTCAAGCGGAAAAAGAGAGAAACATAATACAAAGATGCAGAGAGAGAAAGAGAGAGAGAGAAAGAGAGAATCATAGCAAAATGATCCAGGGAGAGAAAGAGAGAAACATAGCAGAATGATTCAGAGAGAGAAAGAGAGAAACAGCAAAAAGGTTCAGGCGGAGAAAGAGAGAAACGTAACAAAACGATTCAGGGAGAAAATGAGAATCATAGCAAACAGATTCAGAGAGAGAAAGATATAAATGTATCAAAAAGAATCACGGAGAGAAAGAGAGAAACGTAGCAAAAAGATTCAAAGAGAGAAAGACAGAAACGTAGCAAAAAGAACCAGGGAGAGAAAGAGATAAACATATAAAAATGATTCAGGTAGGAGAAAGAAATACAAAACAAAACAATTCACACCTCTTTCCTGTGAATCGTTCCGCTTCCTCTGACGTCTTTCCGACGGAAGGCGTCGCGTAGGTCATCCAGATCGAACGTCGGCGGGATCTTAGCCATCTGTTTGATCAGCCGCTGAAGAAGTTCCTTGTCGGCTGGACTTGTAATGACGTCATGGTG